CACCAAAATTAGAGAATTGAAGATATCAACACGAAATGACAAACCTAAGAGAGGTCTATCCAAGGTACATATACACCAAGTATCAAAGCATTCAGGCTTGTAGTTTTCAAGAAGAAGTCGAAAAAGTAAAACATTGACACGGACAATCACTCATATGATAAGCTCCGCTCGACAAAGTCGACAGCGGAGCTAATAATAAAGTTGTACACCATGTTTGATTTTTGCTAGTAGACATTTTCTCGATTTCAGGAAGTTATAGCATTCGTGATGACATCATTTCGCGAAAGTCACTCACATAGAAACCTGGAGAAATTTTCAAAATTCATGAAAATTTGTTTCTTATGAAATTAACGCGATTTGCAGTATTTAACTTTAATAGTCATTAGAGTGTGACTAACACCGACCATGATAGATAATATGATCTATTTTTTTATAGGATCTATTGAATTCAAAGTCTAATACAATATCATTAATGTTAAAATATATGTTAATGACTCAGCAGTTATAACAGATTACTAACAAGCTGCGAGTCACTTTAAAGAAGTACAATGAACCTATGGACTCCAGAAATATTGAAGAATATAAGAAACAAGCAGCCTCTCGACTGAGATAGCTCCGCTGTTAGCAATGCACATTTCAAATAAAGAACAGAAGATATCATTAGAAAATGAACAATATGTAGACTGTTTTCAACAAGAATACAAAAATATCACTTTTCACCAAAAATGACAAAAATAATCATCAAAATTAGATAATTGAAGATATCATCACGAAATTAACAAATCTGAAAGAGGTCCACATGTAGTACCTATATATGTAATATAAAAAGCAATCTAACTTGTGGTTTTTAACAAGAAGTCAAAAATACCACTTTTTACCAAAAACGAACAAAAATATTCACCAAAATTAGAGAATTAAAGATATTATTACAAAATGAACAAATCTAAAAGAGGTCCACATGTAGTACCTATATATGTAATATCAAAACAATTGGACTTGCGGTTTTTTAACAAGAAGTCGAAAATATCACTTTTTACCAAAAATGACACAAATATTCACCAAAATTAGAGGATTGAAGATATTATTACAAAATGAATACAGTAAATCTGAGAGAGGTCCACATGTAGTACCTGTATATGTAAAATCAAAGCAATTGGACTTGCGGTTTTTAACAAGAAGTCGAAAATATCACTTTTTACCAAAAATGACAAAAATAGTCACCAAAATTAAAGAATAGAATATAAGATCATGAAATGAACAAATCTGAGAGAGGTCTACCCAAGGTACATATACACCAAGTATCAAAGCATTCAGGCTTGTAGTTTTCAAGAAGAAGTCAAAAAAGTAAAACATTGACACGGACGACAGACAATCACTCATATGATAAGACAAAGTCGACAGAGGAGCTAAAAAGGCAGAAAAATTTGGTAAAAAGGTTAAGAACACTAATACTGTAAATCGTTGTTGACCAAAAATTAATAAAATTAACAACTATTATCATACTTGCATGATTTAGAAGCAAAACTATAATAGAAATAAACATAAATCAGAAATTTTATTTATTGTACATGTATGTATGCACAATTTACCGTTAAAAAGTTATTCTTATCATCAAAAGTAATGGAAAAAACAAAACAATTCCCATTTTTCATGAAAACTTAAAGTAATAGATAGTGATCACAAATTTTGTGTACAATGGGGCAAAGACCCATATTATTATTATTATTAGAAACACAAGATTTCATTTTATTTATTAAAAATGAGATTTTATTTTTAAATTGAGTCAGAATCTCCTTATTAAAAATGCTGTCCCAAAATCTGAGCTGTACAGTATTGAAGACATTTAATTTTTTTAATTTGGTGCGTGCCTACTAGAGGTGGTGATCAAAATCAAACCAGTGGTTTTCGGCCTGGAGGAGCTACCTCATCTCCCACGGAGCACTGAGGAGCTCTGCTGATTTTATTAATTAGCTGATGATTAACCAAGAATGAATTATGATCACTCAGTGAGTCGACCGCTATACCTCAGCATGGCTGTTTGTTTCATTTGTTAAAATATCATAATGATCCGTAATAATCGTCAAAACCCAGCGTTTAATCCAGCCATGCTGGTGACATTCGTAATTCTATAAATACGTAATTGAGATCATACATGTACTCGTAAGGTCAGCATAAGGTCATGAATATAATGCTGCATCAGTTACATTAAATAAATTAAAAAGACATATACGTAACAACTTGTTAATTTGAAGTTCCAGACACGAAGTACGGTAAGATGAATAACATTTTGGCCTCACCTATGGTATAATGGATGTCACAGTCTGAGACGTATCCTCATCATGTGCACAAAGGCATGTGATATTATTCACACTTGTATTATACATTTTCAAATTATGGGAGTTAATTTAACTAATTGATTCATGCACCCGTAAGTTCACACTAAACACGATGCGCATATCGAAATACCATATTTGCCAACTAGAATCACATCCGTGTTATAGGAACCTGGAGAAATTTTCATATTTCAAAATTCGTGAAATTTTGTCTCACTTGAAATTAACGCGATTTACGGTATTGAACTTAGTCATTTAGAGTGTGACTAATAGCAACCTTAAAAGATAATATAATCTATTTTTTGTGTGAAAGGATCTACTGAATTTGAAGTCAAATACAGTATATTTACATTAATATTATTAGAATACTGTAAAATACTTTATTTTAGCTGGAATTAATTTTCGCTGAAAAGACTTTTTGGGTGTTTTGTTTGAAATTTATTTTCACTGATTTTTGACGAGTTCAAAGTAAAATATAGGAAAAAAGGTATACTTGCTGGATTTTATTTTCACTGAATCATTCCATCAGCGAAAATAATGAAAATTAATTCCAAGCGAAAATAAAGTATTTTACAGTATATGTTGATGACTTGGTTATAACAGATTACTAACAAACAGCAAGTCACTTCAAAGAATTAACCTTTTCATGACAAATTCACAAAATTGTCCCATTTATAGTCTGCACTTTCCTTCAGAAGAATAAGACAAAAATAGCCAAATCTTTTAAGTAAAACTGAAAATTTAAGAATATAAGAAAAAAAGAGCAGAAAGTTTTTGGAGAGAAAGCCTTGTTGGTAAAAAGATTAAGAACACAAATACTGTAAAACAATGTCGTCCCAAAATTAATAAAAATATCAACAATTATCATATTTACTTGATTTAGAAACAAAACTATAATAGTAAGGCACAGTATATGCTGGATTTAAAAAGAAATTCTTATCATCAAAAAAATTAGATGTCATTTTAAATTCAGTCGGAATATCCTTATTAAAAAACTGCCCTAAAATCTGGGTGTGTATATGCACTATAATCATGATTGACTGAAAGATGGCATGCCATATTTATTATATGCTTATCCCCGCTCAAAAGAGGATTGAACATCACCACACCCATTTACTGTACATTAATTATTTTTGCTTGAGAGGTTTTCAAAGTTCACATGCTCAAATTTAAAAACTTTTTCTTTTTTTAAAATTTTCTAATGTTGTCAATTTTAGGAAAACCAATATTTTAAGACAATACCAATATATGTATATGCATAAACGTCTTTAAAACAGTAAGGCTAGATTGTACGGTGTTGCAGAAGACACATTTTTCAGGTGGTTGCCAAGTTGAATTTAAGCTGTTTTCCCAAGTGAGTGAAATTCGCTAAATTAAATTCATGTGAACATAAAAAATAATGATAGAACTCATTGTTTAAGTTTGTGAATCAAGTGAAATTGCTAAGAACATCAAAAAAGTGAAATTAATAAATGTCAATGAAAATAAACCAGTATTTTCATTCGTTTACATTGAAAAATACAGAATTGGCAAGTTATGAAAAATGCAATGAAAATTTCATTAAATAATTTAAAAGCAAGGCATTACTAATAATCAGTGAAAATAAATAATAGGCAAGACAACAAAATATATAGTTAAGTGAAACTTGAAAATTTCAGCTGTGAAATATCATGTAAAGTCATTTTACAGGATAACCAGGTTATACCATTTACATGCAACCTTGAATTTCAGTCTGCATTGATTACCAGCACAATGATGGCATGCAGCATTGTAAGGGCTAACAATGAGTGTGCAGAAAAGTATATGAAATTGATCAGCCAATAAGAAACAGACATTACAATTGTATCTTTCATTTGTTGGTATCATTTGAGTACTAGTAATTATATAAAATTATTTTGTTCACCTAATGGTCACAATGTTCTACATTATGTTTGTAGTGCGAAATAATATTTTTGTTGATTTATCCACAACGTGCATTTACAGTCATGACACACTGGTTATATACACCATATATAAAATATATTTTTGAAATGCAGTCCCACACTAGCGATTTTCATCTCAAATTTTGGTTCTCCAGGCGTCTCAAATAAGTAACCTATATAATTGAATTAATGATGTTATAAAAAGTTCATAGAAGAGTGGGTGAAAATCGGCCGCTTTTGTCCTTGACGTTTTTTGCTTGGAAACGCACTTGGGTGATAAGACTCCATTTCAAAGGAAGTAGATTGTTTGGATCAGATGGTTTCTTTTGTTTTGAGTTAGTTGTGTGTCTAGAAACATATAAACATTGTTTTTTGATGAATACATTTAACAGAATTGTAACAATTGGTTTATATTGGAAATTCTCTAGTATAAATCATCCTGGACTCCCCACAATTTTACAATGTTGTTAGCTCGGAATGGAGTATTTAGCGTTCATTTTGATATAATGTATCTACACTTGAGTTTCTTGCGGTATGTGAAATCATATCACTGCTGTTGACGGCGACAGGTTGTTGTAGTTCTGCGACTCTCTTGATGTCACCGACAATTGACTTTCGTTTTTTCACTAATCTAATGTTTTCTTAGTTGTATTTTGTTTACCGATATACCAGTCAAACACTGACTAGTAAGTCAACAGGTACAGATCATACAGACAGCATCCCTGAGATTGATGCAAATTACACAATGAAATTCACATTACAATCACTCGCTTTAAAACAATCCGGAATTTATGCTGTAAAACACAGTATACAAGTATTGGATATGATAATTGATATGATAATTATATAGTGCAAAGTGGGAGTATACCTTTGTGTAAAAGTTGTATAAGAAAATTTACAAGTTCAATAACACCAAAAAAAATACTAACAGCAATGGACAAAACAATGTACATGAGAGAAACCAACAACTGACAAGTACACACATAGTCAAATTAGTAAGAGAAAGATGTATGAACTCTACAATATAGATGAAAATGTAATACAAAACATATATTCATGAATTAAATGCTTTGTCCAGGTTATTATATATGAATTCTTTCACTGATATTCAAAGGGTATTTCAAGTGTACGTGTATGTATTAAAATTCATGAAAATTATCAAAAAAATGTAAATTTACACATGCAAGCTAAACAAAATAATAAGCCGAAATGCTAATATATCTAATTTGTGGTGTGAACCAAGTATAAAAGGTCTATACAATTGTAAACAAATATTTTCACGCCTACATCGCTGACCGCGAAGGACACCAATCGCGAAGTGTCTGGTGAAATATACATGTTCCGGTAGTAATAATAAATAATTACTAGTGCGTAAAAACATTGTCAATGAATACAATAAAAATATCCAGGCATCATACGAAACGTTCCAGAGACTTGAGAAATATTTTTGTGGCGGCGAACAGCCTGGGGAAACTAAATTCATATATAAGTTTGACCGGTGACTGCTGCCCTGTGAAGTAACGCCGTTCTGTCCACCTGAATCTTGTAAGGTCAGCTGTTTTGAGAAAACGCAGCTGATCGCTCGATCATCTCTGCAAAATTAATCTCGTACGGTTATGTCATAGATGGTAGTTATCTTTCTCGAAATCACAATTATAAATCTACCCAAACTCACCTTTTACAGTTCAAAAACACAAACTGTTATTACGGTGAATCACACATTTTTTACTCTTCGTTGACGTTGGAGCGATACGCCATTTTGATTTCTTTTTCACAATAACTCCCTAGGTTTATGTTACAAAACTCTAAGAACCGCCTTTGAAAATTAAATTTTATCCACTCCAAGAACTTATAAAAGACGGAATTAGAATATTCTATACATGACTTGGAAAGAATTATAGCCTTTATACACTACCGTCATTATTTAAACCTCAGACAACTAATATTAATAACTATTGATTAAATTAAATTGAGTGCAGTCGTCAGAATAGAAACAATAACAATAGGTTAGGGTGTCTTACGCCATATGATGATTACAAAATCGAGAACTGCACGTGTTTGTTGGTAAACATGTGTTTATATTACGTTTTGTAGCAGATTCCAGCGACAAGACAAACTATTACTATGAGTAGAATCATTGTAAAGAATCTCCCGAAAGGGGTAAGTGAGAAACTTTGTTATCTAGCTGAAAGATACACTTGAAATTGCTCGTCTGCCGTGACACAACTTGGTAACAGTTTATGGTTTTAATTAATTAATATGCTACTTCAAGATATGGTAGACTTTAAAGTAAACTACCATTGAGCTCCATGATTCAGTGTACATCAGGTTCTGTGCTTTAGCGTCCTACGCCGAAGCTAATTCTACAGTGAACTAATTCGACACACACGGCGGTAGTCATCCCTCCTGTGATACATGTATGCTATGGGAGAGGGAGAGAAGCAAGGTGATGGTAGTCGGAATTGTTAATAATATGATATTAACCAAATCTAGAGTCACAACAAACTTCTAACCTGATGGAGTTAATTTCATAATATGTTAACATTCTGCTGTGTGGGCTTGTCATAACAGTCGTTTCATACCTTTACTTCACTGGCTTCAGTTCTGAATCAACACCAGTGATTGGCCCCTGTTATCATTAAATTTTTACAGGAATAAGTGGGGTAGAAATGAGAATCCCACAGTATGGGATTACGATGACTTGCGCTACATAATTACTCATCATCATCAAAAAATCATCATTTGTGTGAATAACTTTGAATGTGTGTAATTGCTTCGTTCACTTTTATGGGATCTCGGCACATGCCAACATTTTTAATTCTTAGTGTCTGCAGACTGTTTACGATAGTTGCATTCACGTTAGTAAGGACTCACTTGGGACCCACTTATGCCGAAATCATGCCCTCATTCGTCGATCTGTTATGTGATCCAAACATGGGAAATGATACGCATATGATGATAATAATAATTAATAGCTATATTGAAATTATATCCATTTGCTGTATGAAACAGTATATGAGGGTGTGATATCGGTTCATGCTAAGCATTCAGACAGCAAATCTTGGTTTCGGTCCCAAGCATCTATCTGGCTGCTTTCGGCACATATTGACTTGACTTATCGTCCAAAATCTTCACACAAACGTTTCAGCACATGCTAACTCGGTCCCAAGTCTTGGCACGTGCCAAGATCTCTAACGTAAAAGCCACTAATAATAATGATCGATACAATTTACATACTAAATATGTAAGAGAAAATAAATTTTAAAAATAAACAAATATGATATGTTAAATAATGACAGCTAGATTAAGTATAAATGCTATTTAATTAAAAATTGGACAACAGTGTATTCATTAACTTAACAGTATTATTGACTGCAAATACCTAGTTCCCTGATAGTTTCTACTGATACAAATGCTTACCAATGTACAGACAGATACCAAAATGATGTAAATTATATTTTGTCAAACTACATTGTGTGTGTATGAATGAAATGCACATTATCTATATTTTTAACAAACATTTCTTTTTCTTTTAATAACATGGTAACTTGAAATACAGAATGGTTTTAAACAAAACTTTAACCAGTATATTAAAATATCCGCATTACATATTAAATTACATATTCATGCTGATTGGAAGTGAATCAATGTTGATTAATGATTGAGTGCTTTCAAACAACAGATTCTCCTAAATAAAAGCATAATTAACCTATGGTCCAATAATAATATCTGATTCAACTGCGTTTTCAGATGAAAGAAGAAAAATTTAAGAATCTGTTCTCCGAAAGAGGAGAAATTACCGATGTCCAGTTGAAATATACTAAAGATGGTATATTCCGTCGGTTTGGATTTATTGGGTATAAAACGGCAACGCAGGCAAAGTCGTCAATGAAACACTTCAATGGAACATTTATAGACACATCAAAGATAAGTGTAAGTAAATATACTTAGTTATTCTTATTCATTCAAATCAGCCAAATACTTATAGGGCTGAGATCTTTTCTTCAGAATCATTCACACACTTTACCGTAATAGTTTTAGCAATGGTGGCAAACATTTTTTAGTCCTCATTTGAATTATATCAGTATGTGTGTGCATTAGTGAGTGCGTGTGTCCGTTCGTCCATCCATCCGGACCTATATCTTAGATATGCCTGGACCGATTACATTCAAACTTCACACATACATCATTCATGATATTAAACATGTGCACATTAGTTTGTTTGATGATCTAATTCAAGATGGCCAAATGACGGCCATTTTTGTGCTTAAAAGTCATCAATATCATAAATTTCTGGCATTCTGGAACAGGATTTTGGCTGTTTACAGATGGATTTTGTATAATCAATTAAGTCTCCCTGTTGTCATTGTTGTCATATTATATCTATATTCACATTCATCGCTTGATGCAATATAACTGCAAGGACTTGTGTCTAGGCACTTGTAAAACTAGTGTCTAGACTCTTGTAGTATATTTTATACTATTACATTTTAGGTCCAGATTGCCATGAATCTGACTGATGATAACTTACCCAGACCATGGAGTAAATACTCGCAGAGACAGAAAATCCAGGACAAGATAACGAAAGAAAGGGAGAAAGAATCTGGCAAGAAATCACAAGATGAGAACCAACCGGTGAAACTATATTAAATGGCTCTTGGATGTAGAAAATATGTAGGGGTGGGGTGGGATGGGGTAGGGTGTGGGGCAGTAGTGGGGTGGCCAGGGGTGAACAAATAGAATGGTCATATAAACTAATGGTGAGAGATAGCGGGTTTTGCATTTACATTGTTGCCTGTGGCTGTTTATTTATTTTGCCGTTAGTTACTCTTTTATGTGTACCTTTGATGGTATAGTAGTCAGCGTGTACAGCCTGAGGGTGGTTGGGGATACAGTTCTCGGGGGGGGGGGGGGGCAGCTGTTCACACAGCAGTATAAATCAGAGTACAATCTGCCCTGCACACTGACAATCACATTGCCCTGCATTCCGAAAACGGGGTATGGGGTTTGGGAGACTGGTTCGCACGTGCACTAGCAATTTGCACAAAAGACAAAAAACGTCAGGAGAGACAATGGTGGTGACTCAATCGTCAAATCGTCACCTGGCACAAAATTATTAAAAAAAACACATCTTGTCATTCAGTAGACATGATGCATTCTGGGATATGTGCATGTGATGAAGTCAAAGTCACCAATGTATTTGTCAATTTATCACGTGTCAAAAGGACTAAACTCAGCAGTGCATTGTGGGATACATGTGTCGGTAATATTCAAAGATACCGTAAATACATGTAGTCTTTGAACATCTAACATGACCTATATTTATTGTTGATGCTACAAAATTACTGAAATTCTGCGAACTGAAAGCAATATTGACATGAATATTGTCTCTATTTTGTACATGTATATGTATGTATTAAACTTGTGTTATTGTAAAGTGTATAATCGATTTAATCAAAGTCGTGTTATTTTTTTTACAGAAAAAAACTAAAAAGAAACTTCAATTATTTGAGGAGGTAAGATATTACCAGTATGAGATTTCATGAGATTTCCTTGTGATTCGCTCATAAACACTTATTAATAACCTTATTTGTCTCGTCCATTTAATCTTTTCTTCTATTTAGCTGGACGAAGACCCAATCTTCCAAGAATTTTTGGAAACACACAAAACTAGAAGTACTGTACAAGCCTGGACAAATGATGCCATGGTAACGACGCAGGATAAAAAAAGCTCTAAAGATGAAAACAAGCAGAAAGATGTTAAGTATGATGATGACGTCCAAAGTGATGATGAGGAGATTTTCGGTAAGGGATGGAATTATAAGTATACTATTTCTATTTTTTTTTTCCTTTTTCACTTTCATCTGCATATAATTAATACATATTAATACAACCTGGACATTCTTCTAGTTTGTTGGAATTTTATGAAATTACTGAAATATGTGGATATTTTTCCTGAATTACTTTGTGTATAAAGTAAACAAATATTAAATTACTGAGAAAACATGGTGCAGCACAACGATTTTGAGAAGAAACTTGTATAGTTGTTTTCTATATTTTTCTATAATTTCTTTATTTATTGTGGACCAAACGAGCAACTCTTCACCAGCTAACAAGTCTTGATTAAAATTAGGAAAATGTATAAAAAAAAATGTTGCTGGGGTTTTATTTTGTGTAAGGGGAAATACCGATAAGTCAATTTTGGAGTTCAAACGTTTTATGTCTGTTGCATCAGCTTTTGCAAATTATGATATAGAAGACTCCATAATTGCCATCACTGTGTGTCTCGTGGTAAACCATTCATCAAAATTGTGATGGTACTTGTGTCTTGGATTTGGTGACAGCATACAAATGTATGTACTCGCTAGGTCTTCTTCAACATCTGGGTTTGTAAGATTAACAATCAAAATCTTCTTGACCCAATGATGAATGTTTCAATTTCAGATCCAATTGCTGGAAAAGTTGAAGAGACAAAAAAAGAAAAAAAATCGACTAAACCAGCAAAGGACCTTTCAGATATGGATGTAAGTGCACCTTGTTTGTATGCTAAAATTGACAGGGTTAGTTTTATACAGTCTCCGGAGTTACACCATGACATAGCTGTTCTTGATAAAATTGTCATTCAGACAACTTACTTGGCTTAATAACAGACTGTGAGTACATATAGAGACAGCATGCGTTTCAAAGTGACAGACAAATTAATGTTAAATCCTACGTTGTGGAACAGCTTTATCAGGGATGTGGACACGGAGGATTTATTTACGGTTTCATTGTCTTATTTGCTGCTGATATTGATTCTTAGACAAATGATCACCATGAATTTTTTCTGATACCATAATGTGATCCTATACGCTGTCTTTCAGTATTTGCGATCCAAAATGGTGAAGTCGGACTTAGTTCAAGATGCATCGGAAGATGATGCAGAAACAAAAGATGAAAAAAAGCCGCCATCTGGCAAAAAGAAAAAGAAGAAGAGGAAGAAAAAAGTATAATACCCTTTCTTTTCAAATTGCTCGAATGCAGTAGCATAAATCTATGCGACGCGATTGTGCGACTCGCCGAATGTCGATTATTGCACTCTGCGACAGGATCGCAGTGTCACTCTGCGAAGAGCACGATTCCCATTGGTTGGTTGGTCGAAAAGCGCGAATCTCAATGGTCGATCGATGTAAGGGTACACAGCATGCCTTATAGAAATGTTTAGTTTTAAATGGTTATTTCGCCGACTGCACGCAAACTATGGTAAACAAGTATTTACCGACGACATGCCGCACGG